ACGGCGGGCTGGCGCAGCTGGGCTGGATGATAGCGGCAGCCATCTGGCGACATGACAGGACGACGGACGCCACTCACGTCGGACAAAGTCGGATACGTCCACCAGACACGGACTGAAGAAGGATTTCTACTTCCTCAGTACCTAATTCGTTGTCGAAAAGTGTTATAAGGGAACATTTTTAGGTTTCGACTTTATAGCGTTAGACTTGTTTCTGTTCATGTGCTGTTGCGGATGATTGCCATTTTCACTCAATCATCTTATTATTTCGGTGATAAATGATCTGATCAATCCATGTCAACCGAAGCTAGTGGAGCTCCAAGGATAAGCATGCCGTAAGCCTCTTTTTTATCAAAAACAATAACTGTAACAAAATAACTGTAATAAAAATAATAACAAAAATAATAACAAAATAATAACTCTGCCAGCTTGTTATGACCTCAAATACAGCATAGTTTCCATTCGTAATTATCCGATAGACCCACTTCACCAGTGGTCATAGCCAGACCCCATTAGGCTATGGTCCGCCACACAACTAAACGTCTAAACCTCAAGTAATTCGGGCGTCTTTAGGCCTGCCGCAGCATATTTTACGTGCGTTTCGGCCGTCTGGTCATTGTGGCTGATTAGCGACAGTGAGGCGGTCACAAGGGGACGTCTGTGGCGCGGCGGCGGCGCTCGGCGCGTCGCTGCTCGCCGCGCCGCACCGACTCCATTGTCCACTGAGGGAGACTCCATCTCAGAGTAATTGATTGCCGCTCCTTTGAGCCGGCAGACGGACGACGAATGAATTGTTGGCCACCGGCCAGTCGCGGATACAGAGACGCTACCGATGAGGCCATAATGCGCCGCGATTGTCGCCGGCCGCGCCGGGATTGCTGCGGACGGCGCGGCGTCCGACGGCCGGCCATTTTCGGGATGATTTAGTTTCGAGTGCTCTCGACCGGCCGGGCGAGCTGAGCAGACCGTGCTCAGCCGGGCGGAAGCCCAGCTGTTTCTTCAGGAGGGCGCATTCCGAGCAGGGGCGCATACCGGCATTGAGCGCCGTCTTTTCATCGCTCCCTCTGCAGACATGCCGGCAGCATTCCCACACAGGGCCGGGGCGGATCGTTTACAAATCGTTTGGAGCCATCTGCCTTTGTACGGCCGCTGCTGGTTGCCGGCGTCTCGGCGACCGCGGGTAGCAGGGCAACCAAACAGGCTTGTTATCTCAGCACCGGCCATTGTTGACCCGAGATGACCTCCGCTGAAATTAACGATGTCGCCGGCCCCCTGTGGACGAGTGGCTGTGGACCCACCAAGGGTCATCTGGGGACCACTGGCGACCGCAGGTCATTAGCATCAAACCGTGACCGACCGGACATCGTTTCCCAAGCGACACATCACAGCGGGTCAGTGGGACCGCCGGCCGCCCTGTGTCTCCCTCCCCCCGTCCGACGGTCCTCCCCGACCCGGCCAATGATCGGTGATAAATGGTGTCGCGGCGGCGGGCCGGCAGATTAGCTGTGACCGCCGAGATCGGCCGGTCTCGGCCAGACCCCCGACGGAGGCTCCGCGCGACAGCACCACCTGATAACGACTGTCGCGATGTGCCGACATCACCGGCATGATACCGCCGTGCTCGACATGAGACGACGCGCCGCCGACACGGCGAAAACTGTCACACATTCCTGGAACACCAACTGCGCTACCGTGGAACCTAACGGAGCAGACAGCGCCTAAGAAAATACGTTATCTCCGTCATGCTGCACATTTGTGCCACATTCGTGCATATCGTGACGTTTACGAGTAGAATAACACTTCAGGTGCACATCCCTCGTGCGATGTGCATGCATTATCATGTCGAAAAAGCACCGACCGGGTGCAGATTGCAAAGTGTCGTGTCACCACTACATTGTGTGAAACATTTTCATTGTCCCCCATACACAAACCACACAAACAGCGCGCGACAAACACGACAAACACATCATTGGCCGCCGGTACGGTGGCTCGCCATCCGGGCCGGAAGACAGCGTCCGCAGAACGGTAACTGGCTGCCGCGTGCCGAACGCAGCTAATGAACCTCGGTTGCAAACGACGCGCCGATGCTAATCTCACGTCGGAAGGCCTGTCGGCGCGGCGGAGGGCACAAAGGCAGAGCGGCGCACCCGTAATGACCCTGTTTGGGACGTCGGTAGATGGCGGGCACGGCACGGCGGACTGGCCGTGACTGAGAAGCACACGACCGACTGATTCCCACTTCTGGCTCACCACTACCCACCGCTGACCCACCACTGATCCATCAATGACTTTTGATCCACAACCCATCGCCGAAAGAGCCACACCTCGAGCGTTGAGATTTGGACAGGTTGCTCGTTTTTGGGGCATGCGGTAACACTTGCTTAATGCTTATCCTGGGTAGTGGAAACCGTTATGCCTTTGTCACTCGGTTGTTGGTACATTTAATTTACATGATGGTAAACCTGCAAGATATTTAATAAAAAATTAACAACATCCTAATTAAGCGTAAAATCGTTGTTATACCGAGAAGTTACTGATGATGAGGCTTCTTTTATCAAATAAAACAAGTACACCATTACGCTCCCAGCCCTTCTCACGCCCGATTGTCAGTTATCAAGAGGTCGCTGATCCGGGGGAGTGACCTGTACGACATGAGGCCACGGGGGCCAGTAGGGCACCGAGCACAGGACCTCCCGCCGGCCGTATTCGCAGACAAATCCGCTCAAATCCGGCCACCGATAGGCGGCCGGCCGCCGCACCATCCGCCGCCAGATTTATGACTATTTGCCGGGCCGGCGGCGGCTCTAGTCCATATCGAAGGACGCCAGACGCCTCAGGTTGGCTGACCCGTGAAGGAGCGGTGGCCAGCGCGGTGAATGGCTACGGGCCTTTGCAAAATTATATACCACCTTATAGTGTGATATATAATTTTGTAGCCAGACAGGGCCAGTTTTTTCCTCAGAGAAAAATGAATCTGCGTGCAGACTGTGGAAATATGAATGCCCAAACACATTTCGCGAAGGGAGATTTGAGAAATATTGCATTAATACAACACAAAATTCAATTTAAACATTCAAAACATCACGCCACCCACGTCTGTATCATTTCAAGTCTGTTTCTTTTGAGTTTCACTTGCGTGCGCGGTAGATTCGGCCGTTAAGGTCGTCATAATTTTATTGGCTATTTGATTTGGACCAAGTCGGTCATAATTCAGAGACCAGAGGCCAATTAAGCGAGGTCACGAAGCCCCAGCCTCCACTGATTCCATTTTCTAGGCCTGCCGGTCGCCAACGTCGGACTAATGAGGTTATTTGACCATAACCCGCTGCAGGTATTGCCTGGTTTCTTGTTAGCCCAGGTTATTTGTTTATAATCAGAACAATGAAATACTGATGGTCGTTGGGATTCCAGAATATTTTCATTTGACTTGGGTGCTTAACGATTAATTGTCATTAACGGGGTACCACGAAAACCAATAAAGCAAATAGTGAGCGCATTACAACCATCCATCGAGTGTTCACTGAACCGTGGCGCGTGTGAACCATAGCGCGTAATGCTAACACACGGATGTCCAAACCGACCATGGCATGCATGACGTTCCCGCCTCTCCCCAGCCCCCCCCTCCCCTCCATTGTTATGGTTCCCCAGCTGACGGTCTGGATCACAAGGTCACCTTTGGGGTCACCAGCTGTGGCCACGGTCACTCCAGCAAAAACCGGCTACCCGCTGGGTCGTGCCTCGCGCTCGGCTCCGTTCGCCTTGATCCGATGAGCGGCCGTCTCTGCCCGGCGGCGGCAGACGCTCCGGAGAGGGGAGAGGAGGAGAGAGAGAGGGACGGAGGAGGATGTTACACTGATTGGAGCAGTGCGCGCCCATCGATGGAGTGCGTTAATGAGTCGCCGGACGCGCCCGAACACGGATCGTACAAGGAGGCAGATGTGTATCGGACAGGCGAATGTGAGACAACGGATAGGCTGTGAGTTGTGTTGTCCAAACTGTTTACTTGCCAGGAATCACTCGGACATTGTGCTCGATAATCCTGCGTAGGCAGCAGAAAGAGCTGTAGAATTTGGCTTAATTAATTCCCGCGTATTTACCTGCTTACTTAAATAGAGATCCCGATGAACAGCAAGGTAATTCCCGACACTTAACAAACGACCTGAGGCAACATCATCACCAAGTTTGTGCGGTGGGCCGTGGCCTCATCGCCAAACTTTCCCGCTGTCAGTTCTGCTGTGGGAACTCTTGTCTTGAATAAACCCACTCCACTAAAAATACCGCATACCACGAAAAAGGAGCCATTTTCGGAGGAAAGCGGACGTCGGGTATCTCCATGTCGCCGTGTTTCTACATTGTCGGCTGGCCCCTCAGGTCGAGAGCACCACAGTTTCCCGTGGAGCGCCCGCATCGGCCCGCTGAAGAGCGGGGTTGAGTAGGCGATGGATTCGCTGCCGGCAGCGGCGGGTCGAGTTCGACCCATTGTGGTGACCGGGCGGCCGACCCGGTCCGCCGGCCCCCCGCTTTGTCACACCCCCGTCACGAAGGTCAACAGAGCCGTAACGATGGCCAATCGGCCCCGGTGGCCGGCAGTGACGCTGTTTTGAGCGTGGCGGTGGAGGCGGCCTGTGGCCTGTGAGAGGGCGTCACCCCATGGTCGGTGGAATAAAAATGCGCTTCCCTACGAGCCACAGAGGAAGGCCACGTCGTTCGCTCCTTGGGGGAGTGTCCACTGTCCAGTGCGCGCTCGGCCGGAGCGTTCAGGCCTTGCGGCACAGTCTAGCTGCAGGCGCTCGTTCTTAATGCCATCTAGTGGACAATAATGTAACTACAGTTGGGATTGCGCTGCTTGATCGATAGTTATACGGTAACGGGTGAGGACGAATTTTGCCTCATTGATTTCAAATGACATCCCCGTTGAAAACAAAAAGAACCTCTTTTAATGAGACTTTTCCAGACCGTTTCCTGCACCAGGCATCAGGGTCCACACTTTCCATACTACTCACCAGAGTTGCCCTGACAGCAGATGGCTTCGTGCAGCAGCAGCATCCCTGCAACAGGTAAAACGATATCGTCAGTGGGTCGCCCACCATCACATACTGACACTAAAATACTGACACACCAATACCTACTGACTCACTGACACTTCACACTGACACAACACCACCTAACAACACCAACACCAGCGCCCCGCCGCGCCGAGTCAACCATGGCACAGTCGCCCGCCCTATCCGTGGTGACGCAAGTGCAACGGTGGTCCGATTCTGACACTGACTACGTGCCGGTCTGCTTACTGGCAGAGTGTGGGTCGGTTCAGAGCGCCGTTATCACTGTCTGAAGTGACGGCGGAGCAGTATGAACGGATGCACATCTATGGAGATGCTGCTCTGTCTCCACGGGTCGCCGTTTGGGCAGAGATGATGACCAAGATAGAGCCACAGAAGCAGCGAGATGGTAAGGGCCGCTGGGGAAGGAGAAAGTGCTCTCCAAAGAAGCGGGACGCCCTGCTAACCGGTGTGAGGTCGGCAGAGCGGTTCTGTAGCGGGTCGGATGTGGACACTGATACGGTGCAGTATCACCATTACACGTCATAAACTGGCGTCCAGCCGGGCGGCCGAGGCCGGCGGTCAGCACCTCCGGGGCGCAGCTGGGTCAGGGCGGTCAGCCGGTCGCCGGGTCACGGTTCAGAGGTCAAGGGTCAGGGGTCAGCGCGGTCACCGGGCGGCAGGAAGGGACAGTGGCTGCCGCGCCGTGAAAGCGCCGGAAGTCGCCAGGCACCGAGAAACGTTTCCTGGCGGTCAGGACACGCCACCTCAGCCCAGCTCGGCCGGCCGGCGGACACTCGGAATATGGGGGCTTTCGCCTCTTATTTAGGACTCTCCCTTCCTTGGCTTTAATCGCAGCCAGCCATCCTGAACAGCCAGCCTCATTGTCTAAAAAATGAAGCTTGTTTAACAATTCTTGTTACTAGGTGTGCCGGTCAAAAGAACAAAGCACATAGTTGAAGCTCAGAATGTTACATTCTGGACGATTTCAATCATTGACCTCAGCCTGAACCTCACACCGCCATCAACCCACCTGACCATAGCCAAGTCGTTGGGTTCAGAACTTGAAAGTTGAAGCCATTCGGCCGTAAGGCCGTTAAACCGTCGCACCTGATGCCCGGCGGACCGAGAGCACCCGTGACCGGCGGCTCTGACCAGTCATGCCACGGGGTCCGTCACCCTATCCCACCCAATGGCCCAATCCGACCCAGAGTCCGTCATCCACCCCAGCGCAGCCCGGTATACCTCCGGCAGCCGGTGAATTTTCCGTCCACGGCGGGCTAAAAATAATATCACTTATACACATGAGCATTAGTAGCTCGGAAGCATGTCGTCTTACGACTCTACATGACTCGACACACGACCGCTCCGTGACTCCACATGACTCTACCGTGACGCTCACGCTACAGACGCGTCTCGTCAAGACGGCACGGCGCGGCTGGACGATCGCCAGCCGTCCATGTGTGAAGAGCTTGTTATGGAAAACGCCGACCGGCTAAACAATCCAGCTGTGTGCCGCCGGCCACACAATAGCGCCGGGCATGCCATTCATGTGGCCAGGCCGTTCCGGTCGACGTCCGGCCGCACCGGCCACAGGCGCGTCACGGACGCGTCACAATCGTCACAAACAACGCGAGACGGCCGGACCGTCACGGACGTGACAGAGGCGGCTGCTCCGTGACGGGTACAGTAACAGACGGACATGGCGAGTGTCATGGATAAAATAGAGGGCTACTTGAAGGACGCAACTCTTTACCGCTGAAATCTATGGTTTGACTCACCAATGTCAGTCCAGAAGACGCAACAGCAGTAGCCGCGGCTATAAATACAAGAAATGCAACAGCCGTCAGTGCCGATTCCTCCATCAGTCCACACCGTCACGGTCAATGCCACCAGCAGCGGGCACTTGTTGCTGACTGCATAGGCCACAGCAGGTGGTCTTCCAGCCACGAGCCGGCCCATAGCCGTTACAGTTGCGCAACAGGTTACGGTGCTATTAGCGCAAGCCATATGCAGACTAATAGTTCAAGGTGTAGGCCGTGGCATTCCAGACGAAATCCAGTATGAACCAGATCAGAGATAAATGTTTTAGACTGATCAATGATTAAAAACAAGACTCATCGGCAACGATATATCAGCTCGGTGGTTTTGGTTGTGATTATTGTGCTATTGTGGTTTCCTTACTTGTAGGTCGTCAAATGCATCTGGCACTAGCCTGGAGCAATCCACTCACTAGTCTGTGTTGTGTGGAATGACGGTGATAGTTCACTCACTCCACTCACTCACTCACTCACTCCACTCTATACTGAGTGGAGTGCCAGTACGAACAATCGCCGTCCACCGCCGGCCAATTAGTCGGTACAGGACGGACCGATTTGGGTCCCGCCAGGGCCGTCCGCTGCACTGGTCACCAGTCGGCCCATCACGGGTCACGGGGGCCACGCCAAGGTCACCGGCATCGGCCACTTATATCCATTACCACCTCAGCGGCCAACAATGGCGGCCGTGTCGGGTTCTGTCCGCTAGCACGAGAGAGACGAGCCGACCGTCCGGCCGGCCGGACGGCTACAGTACGCGGTATGGCCTGACAAAGGTGCCGGAAGCGTTTCGCCGCCGGCGGCCGGGCCAAATTGTCAGGGTTTCGCTGCCGTCATATGGAAATGCACACGCCTTCGATGGCGAGAGTGAGAGGGGGTGTTTCATCGTCGGACGAAGGCTATACCGTTTCCGGGCAGACGAAGTGTGCCGGCGGTGGTATTGGCGGGGGGGGGGGGGGGGTGACGGGTCGAGCTCCGGTCAGTGGTCGGGGGGGGGGGGGGCACAATAGCCGCCGGTCAGGGCTCATTCATGGATCCACACGTCCCGCCACAGGCGGCGGACCACCAGCGCTCCGACCGCCAGCACAAAGCCGCACGGTCCTGAGCAGGGACCAGACTCCGAGACCAGGCCTGGTTCGGTCTGACGGCTCAGGACTGGGCAGCACAGGCACGAGCGGCTCGGCTGGCCGGACGGAGACGGTGAGAAATCACCTTTCAAGTGTCGGCGCGCTAAATCTAAACGCGCTGGCCACCGCCGTAAATCACTGCTGGGCTTGATTCAGTGCGGTGAGCTGCCAGAGGCAAACGTAAATACAGCACCGGTAGGCGGTAGCAGGGGCTCAGCCGCCAGGGGAGCGGTGCGGTACCCTCCAGATGCCACTTCAGGCGTGCTAACGAACCCGCTCACCGCCAGCGACCCCTACAGCACACCATCCTCGCCACCCGGCGCCGTGCGGGCCACAGACAGCCAAACAATCATCACTCACAGGCAGTCATTTGTCTCAGAATGTCTCCCACCGAGAGGGACGGCTGAGACCAGCCCGGTCCGGGGACTATCCCGAGCGACCATTGTGACGAAGTCAAAGGAGCGTGACCGCGGTGTCCGTCCGCCTGACGAGCTACCAAGTTTGACACCTGTCATATCGTCTCAGAAACGCCACCGAATCTCTCTCGGTCGGCGGAAATGCCCCACCATCCGACGGACAACAATGGCCATGCCTGGCCGGCCGACGTCCGGTGGCGGCGGCTTGGTTTGGTCCCGGTCCTCCGGTGGGCGGTCTGATGGTCCGATGGTCCTCATGTGGACGGTCCGGTAGCGAGATGGTCCAGTGGCCAGTGCTGGCCCTGTGCTCAGCCAACTCTCCGGAATACCGCCTCCACCGATTCTCAGCCACTCAGCCTCACTGAGGTAGTCCCGTCGGCCGTCACCCACGCGGTAGCGGCCTACCCCAGGTAATTACACCGGCCGACCTCCCGGCAGCCAACGCCCAGCATTCCAACGGGAGCGGGAGGCCGAGACTCCCACCCAGGGTGGATTGGCAGCGACTCGGCGTGAAAGAGGTATGGACCATTGAACAATGCAGGACGGTGTTGGATCTTGTTCACATGCTTCATGCGAATGGTGGCTTAAACTCGTAGTTGCGACACATTGTATGATTGCGATCTACAACTATGCTTATAACAGAACTGTGACATCACCTGAGACTACAGGCGCCGTTGTATGCGTGACTATGGCTGTGACTGCGAGTGATACTGTGGCGTTAGCTGTGACTGTGACTGCGACTGACTGTCACTGTCGCTGCGGCTGCTGTCACCGCACCACGCGGCTGACCGGCGTCCGGTGCGAGCGCCGTGCCGCCGCGCGCTATCAAAACAGCGCCGACCGGCCGTCGGCCTGCCTCGGCTGTCCGGCCCGTCCGGCCGCGTCAGCGCACAAACACCTGGCGACAACAGCGGCGCGCCGGCGGCGGGCTGCGCCGCACCACTGTTTGCTCGCGCCGCCCGGTGCCGCGCCGTGAACGGGGAGCGATATGGAGCGCCAGTGCCAACACCGTGGTCCCACGTCCGGCCGAGCGGCGTCCGGACGTCTGGGAGTCCGGTTCGACCCCTGAACCCGGCCGCTGTGACCCGCGCTGACCCGCGGTGGACGGGACTGACCACCACCGGCCGGCCGGCCCGCTGGGAACCGTCCGTCGCTCCAGGTCAGTCTGTCACGACCGGCCGGCGGCGCTGAATGGCGAGGTCAGAGGTCACGGGGCGCGGTCAGAGGTCACCGACCACACCAGGTCGTGAGCGGGCCGCGCCGGCGCCCGGCGGTGGGCTCAGATATGCGTGAGCGGCGCACCGCCTCTGCGCGAGGCCAGGTCGACTGACAGAGGTCGTCCCACGCATTGCGCCGCTCTGGGGCGGCCACAGGGTCACGCACCGCGCCAGGCGGGGGCCGCCGGGCCGCGCACTGGAATCACGCAGCTCTGCACGCATTAGTGACGCATCCCGAACGATAGCCGAGGAAGCATGATCGGCTGCTCGCAAATAAAGACCGCGCGATGTTGCAACCTGCAGGCTGCGGTGTGGTGAGGACTAACGAGTATTGACCTCGGCTCTGTCCTCATCTATACGGTATTACTGACACCAGAACGGACAGAGACAAACGACTCCACAAAGGACCTGTACCGCCGAGTTGGCTAG